TCAAATGCTTATGTTTGTGAATCACATTATTTATGTTTGTGAACCGCATTGTTTTCAAACAAAAGCATTTGCAATCTAAGTATGACCGTATTTATCTCTGCTTTTTGCTCGTGATGCTTTGTAGATCTGACCTTAAAAAGTCAGCAGTACTTGTGCCACAGCCTGAACATTGGGCTGCCTCAAAATTCCCACCACTTTAATTAGTCCATTACCTTTAACATCACCTCACATTGCTTCTCGGCCTTTTGGCTAAGACCAAGTATGAATTCAGCCTCATAACCACTGTGAACAAAATGAAAGCAGACTCATAGCTGGAATGGAGCCGGCATGGTCTCTAGGGTCCAGTGGGGTACAGTAATACACGGGTTTGCAGGTAGAAGGATTGGGCAAAATTTTGCATCTTTTCCTGAACTCTTGAGTCAAGTGACAGGCACAGCTATGACCAACTCCTCCACTCTGACGTGTGGTCATGGCTTTCCCTAGTTGAAATTCCAGTTGTCTGGAATTTAAAGAATTTTTTTTTTGTATGTGTTTTTTTGCATATATGGTACTGGGTAGTATTGTTCAATCCAGTTGGTTCCAGAGACAGTAGAGAGCAATCGTGGTGGTAAAACGGAAGTGCAGAGCAGTGATGGAAGTAACTGTAGTTTGCAGAATAGTGATGAAGGTGACAAGAATATGCAAAGCAATAAATAGCCAGGGGTAATGGCATGTGCCTGTAATTAGGATTACCATGAGTTCAAATCTACACTACATAGCGAGACCCTGCCTTAGTAAAGACCAGAAAATAGGAAGTGCAAAGCAATAATGTAAGAAACAAAAAAGTGCATAGCAAGAACAGTAAGAAGAGGGTTTTGAAGAAAACCACTGAACTGAGGAAGAAAATTCTAGAAAAGTACGAGTGTGGTATTTGTGTGGCTGATCTGGCCTTGGAATACAACAATTGAAGTCAACAATTTTGATTATTTTGAAGAATAAAGATGCTATCAAAGGAGTTGATACAGCAAAAAGAGTAACAATGGTAACTAAGCAGAGGTCACAAGTGCTGGAAGAGGTGGAAAAAATGATGGTGTAGACATAGAGGAGCTGGCAGGTGATAACATTGGTGAAGTTATGATTTGTGTAAAAGTCAAGAAGTTGCAGTGATTTACTGCAAGAAAACCCCTGTTCAAGTGTAACAAAGGAAGAGTTAAGGCCAGTAGAGGGTGGTTTGATAAACTCCACAAGAGAAGTGCCATCCACAGTGTGATCAGATACGGTGAGACTTCCAGTTCTGCCAAGGCTGCTGCAGAAGTCTACAAGAAGGAATTTATGGAACTCATGAAGGCTGAAGAATATATTAGCTCAAAAATGTTCAACTACAATGAAACAAGATGCTTCTGAAAGAAGATGCTGAACAGAGCCTGTAGTAAGCAGGAGGAAAGGACACTGCCAGGGCACAGGCCCATGAAAGACTGGATGATGCTTTTGCTGTGTGCCAACACAACTGCCAACCTGAAGATTAAGGCACTACTGGTGCACTATTCCCAGACCCACGCAAGGCGCAGAATGTGAACAAGGCCAGACTGCCTCTGATTTGGAGGCCAGTGAAAAAGCTTGAGTTACAGAGCAGTTGTTCATGGAATGGCTGCATCAGGTGTTCCCACCCACCATTAAGAAATATCTTTCTGGAGAGCCGGCCAAACAACTCAGCGAATTAAAGCACCTGCTTAGGCAGACGCAGTGACGGGGTTCAATCCCCAGTGTGCTGTGCCTTCCCGCCCCCCGGGGTGGGGCGTGCTGAGATGGCGATTGAGACTGGGGGTGGTGGCACCAGCCTGTAATCCCAGTGTTTGGGAGGCTGAATACAGGCGGATCAGTACTAGTCCTACCTACATAGTGAGACCCTGTAGACCCTGTAGACGCTGTCCTAAAATACAGAAAGAAAGAAAGAAAGAAAGAAAGAAAGAAAGAAAGAAAGAAAGAAAGAAAGAAAGAAAGAAAGAAAGAAGAAAGAAAGAAAAAGAAAGA